AGAGATGCTCTTTTACATTCAGTAACACTAGTGGGAATGGTAGCATTATCCAACTGCAATTAAACTAAAGTCCATAGATATGCATGAAGGGTGTTTTGTCATTTGGATTTATTATGCAAGAGAAACAAACCTAGGAATTTTCATCTACCTCTTTGGCTTTCATGCAACACTGAGCTTCAAATTAAATTCCTCAAGATTAATGATCCCCTTCCCACCTGGAAGTATCCACAGTTCTCATAAGAGATATTTTAAAGATGTGTGTTGTCTGCTACCTTTTTGGCTGAGCAAGCAGTGAGCAATTCTGAACAATACCACATCCGTTTTTGAATTTAAAGGAAAACTTACCTAGGATTTTTGTTAAGTGAATCTAGAGTGGAGTGACTTCAAACTTTATTTTGCCTAGCTTGCAAAGAAGAGACCAAGTTGAAGTGTACTTCCCACAGTTAAAACAAGATAAAATCTAAAATCTTCAGATACCGAATTCTTCTACCTGTATAAATTATGCAAGTAACACACATTTTCAGTCTTATTTTGCATAATTTATTCATTTTTTAAAAAAATGTTTTGCCAAATTTAGCCTGGTTCTAATGGTCACTACATAGGGGAGAAGCCCTACCCTGAAAGTGAAAAACTTATCCAGTCACTCCTGCTGCCCCCACACCTCCGTTTATTTTAGTATCCATAAAAATTAGAAAGTTTCATTTTTAAAGACTGGGCTTCTCAAGATGTTGAATTCTGTACCCAGTATCACATTCTGTACTCCCACAGAATCAGGGAATATGTAAATGTTTGGGATAAGGGCTTCCCAAAACTTTCCTATTTTTGGCTCCATTTGCACCATACGTTTAAAGCATGGCTTCCCTCAAATGATTTGTTAGGGTGCCAAGGGCTGTTAGGAGACCCCACTTCACATCACAGCTACAATTCCCAGCGCTTCCTGGCAAGAGGGATTGTTACACCACCCTGCTTAAAGTGGTATGGTACTGTTTCAGATGTGTAGTACAGATGGGACTGCACTAATGGCTACAGTCTGCACAGACAGACAGACAGACAGACAGACAAGTCAAATCAATCCCGCCACCTAATCAATAGCTTGCCTGGTGGCATCGCTAAGAGGTTAAAAAAGGGGGGCCCAATCTGCTCCAGTTGCAAAGGTTTCAAGCACTGGAAATATGGTATATAAGGAAATGCGTCACAGAAGCCTGTGAGGCAGATCCAGCTGCTCCCCTGGGCTACATGATATCAAAGCAATACAGCTCCATGCTCCGAGGCCTGTGCGACTGCAGGCATGGCTCAAGCTGGCAGGCGTCTTTCTAGTTCTGAGGTAAGACCTCAGAACTGGCAATGGTTAAGTTGCTTGGAAATGTGTGCCATTGGTCAGGAGAGGAAGTTGTCTTCCTTCCCAGCAAATACTGTCAAAGCTAAAAAGCCACTGAAACACCCCCAAGAGAAAGAGAGTGTTAAATCCCTCCTCTCAAATTCACCATTTAACGTTGCAATCCCACTCCTCAAACTTCATATGACAACTGCACGCCCAACTGAAGAGGTTGAACAGTGTCTCATTTGTGACAGGAAGTATTATCGTGTAAGGAAGATTTACATTTACTCTTCGCACCTGGGAATAATGTGTTTTTCTGTTATCATCAAGCCAAACCCAGATCAGAGGACCTTCAGCGACAGGGCACAATTAAAACTTAAAACGCTTCCTTGTTCTCCACCAGTTTCCCAAGACTGTTGGTTTAATCCACTTGAGGCTGAAGCGAGGGCCTTTTCTGTAAACCCTAATTCTAAAACCCTCGATACGCAATTTTAAGTTCTGTCTTACTTTACAGTCAGAGCATACCAATGAGAATAGGACTGAAGATGATTCAAAAAGGAATGCACCCCTGCCTACAGCTGCAAAGTTTCAAAATCTACACTGGGCTCTTTCTATTGCTTAATTAGAACATTTAATGCTTAATTAGGAAGATTTAATTGTGAGATACATAGTTCAGAGACAATGCCTTTTTGCTTCCTATATATACTGTAATCCCAGATCATATACCCTTTCTAGTAAAATCATTTCTAGGAGCTGGGAAAGATCTTTCCTGAAAATTATTAGCTGAAAATACTGTTCTTAGTGTGAGTTGGTTCATCCTGTTACCACTTTACAGAAAAAAATGGGGATTTTACACTCAGATTTGATATGCAAATAAATTTTTAAAAGAATGTATGTATGGGAGAGTCAGGTTCTGGAAGCCTGCAATGCTGTGTAGTATATACCTACTGCATTTCTGAATTTCAAGAGTCCAGTAGCTACAAGCCAAATTCTGCAAGGGACCTCAATGAACAATGGACAAATTTCAATTAAATAAATATATGTAACAGATTGAGACCTATTCGGAGATAACTGTAGAACAAGGATTTCTGACTCACATGTGTTTAACAATAGCAACAGCAAAACAAGTCTATCTGCTGAAATGAAGGAAGGATGCGAGATTACCAAGAGTGAATGGCTCCATTCACTTCCTGTACTCTAAATCAAGTCTGGGATATGTAATTCTGAAAAGCATGTATTTTGCACTAGGGTCCTAGATCTTGATTCAACAACAAAAAACCCAAGCAGATTCCACAGTCCTGAAGTTTGATGACTCCCAATTAAAGACTGCAAAAGGGACTGGGAAAAGGCTTAGAAATACATAGGTAAGAAAAGAAGGTCAATTGTGCCAAAAAACCCTCTCCTGCACCCTTCCCATCCCACACCCCCCCTTCCAAATAAATGTTCGATGGACAAACAACAGGAAACAGATGTTCCCATTATGCCCTCCTGTGAACATCTAGCTAGTTGCCACTGGAAACAAGAGTACCAAAATTCTGGTTTGACTCAGCAAGGTGGCTCTTCCATTCTCAGAAATCTCTGGTACGTTGCACCTCCATCACAAAGGCTAGAAACCTGTTTTAGAAAACTGAGCTTTACTGGAATCCTCACAAGACCCCCAACAATTAAGGCTCAGACAGAGCAATTTGACACCTGTCTATTCAGAAGCAAGTCCCACTGAATTCAATGAAATGTACTCCGTGCAGGGGGGGAGGTTACAGGATTACAGGCTTAAAGCCCCAATGAAAAGGGGACTGGACAAAAGCACGGGCCATAAAGCTATCAATGGCTTCTAGTCATGATCGCTAGGTTGCCTCCACTAGCATCAGAGGCAGAATGAAGAGGAGACCACGATTGGAGAGGGTCTTGCCTGTGGGCCTCCCACTGGGGCAAACAGGTTGCTGGACAAGATAGGCTTTGGGTCTGATCCAGCAAGGGCTTTGTAAATTCATCTTCTGGATCACAAGCTTCACCCAGCTTTGGAAACATCTAGCCCTAACAATAGAGAATCGGAAGCCTTTGGGGGCAGATGGGCTTTGGTGATTTATGTATACAGTATTGCAGAGCCCCCTAAAATGTGCTTCTGCTTGAATAACTTTGTAGCATATAAATGTGGCAAAACCTTTTTCTTTCTGGATTCCTCCCCACCCAGCTATTCACAACAGAACTGCCTGTCATATTTTCAGCAAAAGAAAACGTTTCCATTTTCAATACATTTGAGCAAACAGGAATTTCTAATACTTGGGGAGTTTGGTTTTCAGCTGCTTTGAACAATAATAATTTTACAAGATAGGAAAGGGTCCCCACTGGGGTGCAGGTTAGGTGGGTGAGAATCAAGCTGCCTTTAAGAGCTTACAATCCAAATTACCTTCCTGCACTTTAAGTCAGTGCCCCCTCCAACCTCTGGAAACCCTTCCTCGCTTCCTAAAATCCTGCCTGGTTCCCCAGCTATACAGGCCATCCTCTTGCCCAGCTGCTCTAGATGTCAACCTGAAAAGAGCATTGCTGTCTCCCAATCTCACTAGAGCCTCTGACACACAGAGGAGGTGACTTTTTCTAGCAGCTGTAGGTCACACCCCACCCTAGAGGTCCAGCACACCCCATTCCTAGAGGAATCTTTCAGCCCCTTGGCTGAAAGGTATGAACACCACACCTTAGGCGCATTTTAACTGCCCTTTTACGTTCAGAGATTCCTGAGTGGGTGACAGGGCAGATTCCCCTCCCACCTTTCCCCAAAGACTCCTGTTGTTGCTTCCAAGCAACTGAAATTCAAACGTATTCCATCCCTGAACTCCATCCAGCTATCAAGGTTAGTAGACATTTACAGAACCGACATCCCATACTCAATGGGAGGAAGGGCAGGATGCAAATTTAATAAATAAGTAATAAATAAACTTCTGCCCATGGATTTGTCGAAACCCCTTGTCAAAAGGATCTACAGCAGCAACCATCACCATACCCTTGTGGCAGTTAATTTCATACGCTCGTTATGCATCGTTAGGAAGTACTTTCTTTTGCCTATACTGTTCGTGGTCAAGGAGGCACTAGGACATTTTTTTCTGGCCAACTGTTTTTCATCTGTTCCTCTTATGGTAGGATCACAGGTGGGGGATTTAGACTACTGGAGAATGGGTTGGTTGGTTGATTGATTGATAGCGGAAGGCAGAAATAAAAATCAACACACATTTCAGGTTGGAGTGGTCATTCTGACACTCTCACAATCTAGTAATTGAGGCACATGCCATGGATGATGTCAGAAATCAGACTGCATGGATGTATGCAGCTGGAAAATTGGTTAGAGTTCTCTTTTCAACAGAACTTTAATCCTGCTCACCCAAACTCCCACCTCAGTTATATGATTCTTCACTTTAAAACCACCCATTTTATCCATTCTATATAAGCAAAACTGTGTGTACTCTGCACTAAAAACAGCAACCCAGACAGTTTCAGTACACAGTCTCTCTTGTGCCATATATGTGTGTGAGAGAACTGGCTTATTTTTGCAGTTACAGTGGTACCTCGGGTTACGAACTTAATGCGTTCCAAAGGTCCGTTCTTAACCGAAAACTGTTCTTAACCTGAGGCGCGCTTTTGCTAATGGGGCCTCCTGCTGCTGCTGCCATTCTCAGCCTGGGGCAAAGTTCTCAACCCGAGGTACTACTTCTGGGTTAGCGGAGTTTGTAACCCGAAATGTTTGTAACCTGAGGTACCACTGTATCAGCTTCTAAAAAAATTTTTTCCAAGAGAACTGTAAGATGGCATTGGACATGGATGGGATGAAAAGGGGCAGAAACGAATGGTGAGAGATACCAGCTACAAGAGAAGCAGTGGCAGTTGTGCAAGGCCCTAAAACCTCCCCAGCCATCTCACAAACGCACTGAAAACCCTGACTAGCTCTTCTAAGAAACCCTTTGAAAACATTTCCCTATTAAATATCAGTGGGGTTTTGTTTTGTTTTAAAAAAAAGATAGTTGTTGCTTTGAAACCAAAAGCTGTGATTTGAGAACGCCAAGCCCTGCACTGATTTCCAGATTGTTTGCTGAAGCTGCAGGGTGCACACAACTCAGCCTATAGAACAGTATGTCACTTGAACTGCTTTATGTTCTCCTGGGTTACCCCTCCCTCTCTAGCCCCCCAAGGCTCTGGGTCGGTTTGATACTTTTGACTTCCAGCCTCCCCACCACCCGCCCCATGGCAACAGGGTGGCAATCCACCCTTAGCCCCAAACCCCTTTACAGCCCCAGCCCTATTCGTTTGCTCACAGTCCTGGAATTGTAACAGTAAGTGCTCGTCCGCTTGAAAGATAAGAAGTTTTCTGTCTGATATCAGGAGGCCTGGTTCATTCGCCCCAGCAGCCCTGTTAGCAGGGTCAACAGCTGGCCACTGGGGACACAGGTCCTTTAATTCAGTGTTTCCCAACCTTGGACCTCCAGCTGTTTTTAGACTACAACTCCCATCATCCCTAGCTAGCAAGACCAGTGGTCAGGGATGATGGGAATTTTAGTTCAAAAACAGCTGGAGGCCCAAGGTTGGGAAACACTGCAATTCACAAAGAACGCATAGCGCATTTCGGAACGCAAGTTGTCTCCCGGGAACATTTTCACCCTTTCCGGGCTTGCGGCGTTCATATTTATATATAGCTCTATTCACGTTATATATAAATATAATCTCTCTCTTTCTCTCTCTTATATATAATAAAAAGCACAAGCCGACTGCTATACACACCTGGGAGTATAAGGTGCAGTAGCTGTGCTGCTCTCTCTCTTTTAAAAATCATTGTCTTTTCCTACACCCCCCCCAAAAAAACCTTCGCTCCATGCTGTTTGCCACCATCCCCCCCGCCCAAGCAACACTGCTGTTTGGCCTGCTGGTGGGGGAGCTGGCAAGAAATTAACAAGGCAGGCAGGAAAAATCTGCCCCATTTTAAAATAAAACCTTGCCGGCTTTTTCTCCTTTAAAAAATATCCCATTCCCCAAATCCAGAATTACCATAAATCTTGCACCCTAAAAACAACTCCCCCCCCTATAAAATTAAAAAAAAATCAAAACAAATTCAAATAAAAAATTTAAAAGGAAAAAAAAATGCCGCCCTTTGGGATCCGATTGGCACAATGGCAAATTCAAGGGGCAGAGAGCGAAAACTGCCGATGTGGTCACCCAAGGTGGGACAAGAGCCCTAAGCCATCCCATGTCACTCCACCACCCTCCAGGGCTGCATCTGCTACTCACAGGGAAGAAGAAGCACCCATGACACAAACCCTCCAAATGTGAGTTGTCAAGAAAGCTCTGCGCCCGGACCTCCCCACCACTTAACCATTCTCACCAGCTCAAAATTTTCCATTCTGGGGATTTGCAGAAGTGGTGTATCCTCCCCCCCAGCCCCACTAGTTTGCAATGCCATGACACTTCTCTCCACCACCCCACTGCCAGCCAATCGGACCCACGGCGGCTTCCATTCACTCCTCTTTCTGCAGAGCTGGGAAGGAAAGCTTGTTCTCCGGGCACCGTTCAGGATCCCCGCTCAGCGTCCCGAAGAACGGGCTGTTGTTATTGCACGAGTCAGCGTCTCTGGCTAAGGCACAAGGTGATGTGGCTGAGGGGCAGGCTCCAGCCCCTGGGTCCTCGCCCACCGTGGGGGTGGTGCCCCCGTTCCCGTTCACCTGGGACTGAGGACGGCTGCTGCTGCTGTTGCTGCTGCTGTTGCCACCATTGTTGTTGTTGAACTCTGGGGTCTTGGCAGTTCCTTCTGCAGAGCCCTGGCAAGTACAAGAGGAGGCCTTTAGAGGGGGCTGGAGAGATCCAACCTAAAGATGCAAACACTTCTGAGATGGGGACAGAAGGCTGCTTCTATCAAAATCCTCTGCCTTGCATGCAGCATGACACAGAGTCCATACTGTTTTCCAGTCCACAAGGTGAACTCTTTCAACCTCAGAGCCACTGCATCACACTGCCAAATCGTGAGGAGTTTTTTCCATCTCAAAAGATGCAAGATAATGAAATATAATAAAGGTAAAGGTAAAGGGACCCCTGACCATTAGGTCCAGTCGCGGACGACTCTGGGGTTGTGGCGCTCATCTCGCTTTATTGGCCGAGGGAGCCGGCGTAGAGCTTCCGGGTCATGTGGCCAGCATGACTAAGCCGCTTCTGGCGAACCAGAGCAGCGCATGGAAATGCCGTTTACCTTCCCGCCGGAGCGGTACCTATTTATCTACTTAAATATAATATGAAATATAATAACTAATAAATACAATATGAAATATAATAACATAATAAATATAATATGAAATATAATAACAGGTGCCAAATAAAACAAAGCAAAAGCAGAACGGAATACCTTGAACTAAACATAGGGGGGAAATTCCATACCAGAATCAAACATAATAAATTAATGTCACCCCCAAAAGGTGCAAGATGTGTAGTCCAAGGAGAGAAACAGTTCTCTTATTTCTCATACCCAGGTAGCTCTTTTCCACCTAGGAACCATTCAATAGACAGGTGAATTGCAACCCGCTATTCTTTATACTGAAAGGCTTCTTTTGCTGGCGATGGGCTAAAACATCACCCTCTAGAAGGAAAAGGAGCTGAAACAGGCCGAAGAAAGAAGGATTCTTGGTTCTCCCAAGGTGGGGATAGACCTCCAAAAGCCCTATTCTGCAGCATCCATTTTTATTTCTTCCAAAGTGTGCCTCATAGTGGCTGACATGAAGAGCACCCAGAGTGTGGGCCACTGCAGCAAGTTGGCAGATACTTTTAGAAGAGCAGGGAAAGGAGGATCCACCAGTGACATAAAAAAGGGTTTGGACACTGCACAGGGAACAACGGGGGAGGCAGGGACACATACTTGCTTGCTCACTTTCTTGTTTCCTTTGGGGATTTTTCCAGAGTTATCACGACCACGGCTGCAACAGGAAAGAAAGGTGCAACACCTCAATTTTACGAATGGAAATGAGTCATTTTATAATGTTCCCCATCCAAAGTAGTAAGTTATTAAATTGGTTAGCTTAGTATCCTAAATCTCAAATTGGTTATATATCCTTTTATTGCAAAAGGTATCTGTTAAAATCTAATTGATGAAACAATTAATTCGTTAAAAAGGCAGTTTCATTCAGATTTAATCTTTAATTGATTTAAAGATCTTTCAACTTGCTCTGGATTCTCCCCACTCAATCCCGATTTACTGGTCTTCTCCTTCTTTTCCAAAACTGTTGAGACTCATCTTCCCTTTCCACAGAAAGGTGCAGAATCCAGGGGCCAGGCTCCCCGCTCCTCACTAGGAGCCCCAAATCTCAAAAAACAGAAGGGGACAAAGGGAAACAAGACCCTTTCCTGACAACCAAGGCTATACGAAGCCAAGGTGACTCGTCTAGTGGCACCTACCCTTTCCCTGGGCCTCCAACGGATACCACTTGCATGCCGAAGGAACCCTGCCCACGGGACGGCTTGCTTCCAGCCCACTGGCCCACCACCATGCCAGCAATCTCCAATTTGCCTCCTTGCGGCGGGATAGGGTGAAGACCTAGGAAAAGGGAAGAATCAGTAAGCAACAAAGCAGAGTAGGCTGGTTTGCACCCTATTTGATCACCTGCACCCACAGCTGAGGGTCTCAAGGTCAAAGCATGAGAGTTGGAAAGAAATGGCCCTACTACAAACTCAACAGAGATCACTGCACAGACGGAGGGCAAGCGAGGAAGCAAAACTGTTTCTGGGACTGTACTACAGTGGTGCCTCGCAAGACGAAATTAATCCGTTCTGCGAGTCTCTTCGTCTTGCGGTTTTTTCGTCTTGCAAAGCACGGCTATTAGCGGCTTAGCGCCTATTAGCGGCTTAGCGGCTATTAACGGCTTAGCGGCTTTAAGAAAAAGGAAACAAACTCGCAAGAACTCACAAGACGTTTCGTCCCATAGGGAAATTCGTCTTGCGGAACAACTCAAAAAACGTCTTGCGAGGCATTCGTCTTGCGAGGCACCACTGTACTTTAGAAGGCGGGTGGGGAACAGCTTGCCTAAAAAGAAAAGAAACCCACCCCTACCCCGAACATTAAAAAGTGGGAGGGGGGAGCCTGCAGGAGGAAGTTTGTGCAAATTAGATCAAGAACTTCCTGCCAGGGCAAATAGGGTATGATGTAACTCCCAGTGGCTGGCTCACTATTTGCTAGAGAGAAGCAGGCTATATATCACATGAAGCAAACACGTAACAGAGGCAACTGGAAGCACAGCAACTTACCTGTGAAGCCTCTGGTCCTCCCAGGTGCTGAAGGCTGAACAGAACCAATGGCGCGAGGATAGAGAGGCATAGGGTAAAAGGATGGGGCCATGGAAGATACAAAGGGTGGAGGTGGGAGCAGGGGAGGCGGAGCCTGACGGTTGAAGTTGATGCCTTCCAGGATGCTCTGCCTCATCTTCTCTACCTTGGACACCTGTTCATTCTGTGGATCAAGGAGGAGTAGGAGGGTGACAAAAAAATAACTGAACCAGAGTTTGATGGTATTATAAAAGTGCCAGGCACTTCCCACTGCCGTATCACTCCTATAGAACAGTATCAAGGTCATGGAGTGTAACTAGGGAGGGCCAGTTAGGGCAGTTTGCCCTGGGTATGCCCTGGGGAAGAAGGGTGCCAAGGGCACATATTATGTGATGCATTGACAATTATTTGAACAGATGATGGAGAATGTCATCCTGTCGAAGTTAAGCACTTTGACTCCCCCACTGTAATCAGTAGGATGTAAAAATGCCTGACGAGATTGAGAGCCTTGTGGTGTATTCTATTCAGTATGAAGTAATTAAGTACGTTCTCCAGATAATAGATTGAAGCCAGATACCACTTTGCTCAGAGGCTTGGTCATGGCAGCAGGCCAGGCAGAGTGGCAGTTTCTCATTAGCTTTGTGCCTGCAGCTTAACAATACACAAAAAAGCACATTCAGCTATTGAATACTGCTGGTGGGTGGGTGCTGCAGTGGGGGAGAGAGTAACTAAAGCCATTAGACAGCAGCAGCCAGAGAACTTTTGACAACCCTTAGTTTCACCTACAGCTAGGAGGTGAGCATGTGTAGAATGCACAGGAACAACTAGATGTGGCTCTGAATCAAGGACTAAGCAGCAACTCAGGACGTCAGCAGCAGGATCAACTGCTCAGCAGCCACTTCCTTCTAGGAGTGCTAACCCTTACCTGTCCATCACACAGGTCTATCAGGGGTGCCTTTTCCCACGTGGCTTTGATTAGCTTGCTCTGGAAAAGCTTCCCGTCAAAGTAGATCCATGGGCAGCAATGTTCCCAAGGGACGGGCTGCCCACATGCATCGTTGGCGAAGAGGGCTGTGTCCACTCCACTCATAAACAGAGCAGCCAGCTGAACTCCCCGGGGATCCAGCTTCTCAATCTGCAATGGAAACAAACGTACCTTCAGCCATCAAGGAGCTCATTTTAGTAACAGTCCCCCACTTTGTCACGGAGACCTTAGTAACGGAGTGAGTTACCCACAAGCCTGTATTTGTAATGCAGGAGATAGCAAAAATGAGGCTTAGCACAGGAAAATGAAAATGATAATGATAATGATGGTGATGATAAGTATCAGATGGAAGCCTGAGACACAGCACAGGGCTTTCATTTTCGACCTCCAAAGTCAACCAAGCCAGACCTACTCGTCTGAACATCACAGGGTTAAAAAGAGGAGAGCAGATGCGTCAAAACTTGCAGGGATCAGCAAACTTTTTCAGCAGGGGGCCGGCCCACTGTCCCTCAGACCTTGTGGGGGGCCGGACTATATTTTGAAAATAATAATAATGAACAAATTCCTATGCCCCACAAATAACCCAGAGATGCATTTTAAATAAAAGCACACATTCTACTCATGTAAAAACACCAGGCAGGCCCCACAAATAACCCAGAGATGCATTTTAAATAAAAGGACACATTCTACTCATGTAAAAACACGCTGATTCCCGGACCATCCGCAGGCCAGATTTAAAAGGTGATTGGGCCGGATCCGGCCCCCAGGACTTAGTTTGCCTACCCATGGTCAAAAGTGTCTTTTGAGGTCCCTGCTCTCACCAACCCTGGAGAGATTAATCTACTACATAATGGGCCAGAAGAAGGAACCGGGCGCAAACACCCCAAACCAAAATTTGTTAGGGCTCAGGCCTGTTCCACCAAATCTTCCTATCTCTCATCAGGGCAGACCTCTCTCTGCCAGATGTTCTCTGTGCGCCAAACATTTAGTGGCTCTACACTGGGCAATGCGCTCTGGAGTCACGGCTCATGTGGGTATTGTACTCCCACCCTCTCTTCTCTTAGCCACGTTTACCACTTTTCTACCTATCCCCTGCTGGACCATGCCCCATTTTTAAAGGAACAAAAAAAATACTAGATGCAAATACCTCCAGGTATGTATGACGTGTCCTTCCTTCCCAGGGAGTACCTGTCCCCTCCCTCCAAATTTAATATATTAAGAAGCAGGGTGTGGTTTCTGGCTCTCAAGCAGACCTGAGCCCCAGCACCTCTTTCCTTAACAAAAGGAGTGCTGGCTCTACTGCTTCAGGCAACTTTTATTTCTCCAAAGATTTTTATTAAAGTTTTCATGATACAATAAAATAGTATCTAAGGCGAAAAGAATCAAAAAGACAAGAAATAGAGGAGAGAGGGAAGAACAAGAAAAGAGAAAGAGAAAAAAAGAAGAACAGATAGGAAACATTAACACCAATAATAGTAATAATAATAAAAAACCAAATTATATGTATATAGCCCTCGCTCATAAACTTCAATCCCCATATAAGGAAGAGTCTTCTCAGCTGTCACCTGGGAGAGCTTACCTCTTTCTCTGTCTCATACCCTGGGAAAGACCCACAGAGGCCCCCTCTCCTATCACCTCTCTGTATGTATCTTCATTTAAGAAATCAAAAGAAAAATAAACTATCAAAAATAAGCAATCATAAAGAAAACAGAGTAAAGGGGGGGGGAGATGAAAGGGGGGGGAAGGCTTCCGCTTCTCTATCTGCCAATTATTTGTATTTTCGATTACTCAAAATATGTAGCATTTACACTCCAGAAATATCCAGTTTTTCCCATTCTGCTAGATCTCAAATTTTCTTCCCAGACATCTTTTCTTACTCAGGAAGTCTAATGTAGCTCTTCATTTATGCATTGTTATCTTCAAGTGTCCAATATGTATATTTTTCCCCAGTTCCTCGTGGTGAGTTTCTCCTCAGGGGTTCCAACCTTTCTCAGTAATGTAGTAATTCATCTTTGTTTGCCTGTTAAATCTTCATTAAATCATTTTTCATTCTTTTCTTTCCCCCCTCTCTTTTTCTGTTTGCGTATTTGTTATTCCACATCTCATCAGACACAGCTTTGAAAGCACATTCAGTATAAAAAACTATGCTTTGAACTGTCATCAGCTGTTTTTGTGGTCAGTAAATTTCCAACTTTACAGCAGATTCCGTCATCAGCTCCCACCTTTCTGGCAGCCATAAATCTGTCTCCTCAGTTCCATCTGGTATTTTTTTCACATTTAGACAAAAATGGTCCCTCTGTTCGCCGACTGCAGATCCTACACCTCCCATTCGTCTTATCTGTATCCCAATCTCCTTAACCATCTCCTGTAATCTGTTTCTTAAGTCTATTAGCTGTGCCTTTGCATGAGTTTAAGGATCAGTGATGTCTTTAGTGTCAGCATGATATATTACGCTGTCTTTGCTTCCCTGTGTTGTGTGACGCAGACAGCAATTCCCACTTTCATTTTCCATCAACTCAGCACAGGGAAACAAGGGTTTACAAAAGAGGTAAAAAATAAATTATAAGCAATTTTGAGCTCCAATATTTCCAGGCAGTAAATTATTTAGATCTTCTTGAAAAGGCTTTCCGCCTGTTATCTGTTATTGCTTTTAACTGTGCGCAGTCTCTTCCCTCTGTGTGTTATTAATTGACAAATAGAGAATCCAATTTATATTCCTTACTTTCCAGTCCTACTAATAATAATTAAGATAAGGAGGGTGCAAACTTTAAGCTCTAGTTTAAGAGCGATTATGCAGTGCTCGAGCCAATATATTCGCATCGCTGTAGACACATTTCACCTCCACAGATTTATCTTTCCCTCCGTACGATGATGAATGTCTTCTTCAGACTATCTGAGGCTGTGCTCTTCAACATCCCTTAGTCCCAAGGGGAGTTAGGTAGCCAGATTTATCCCCTGACCACCTCTCATCTCTGCTAGTGGAGCGCTAGCAGACGTTATCTCAGTTCACCATAGTTTCAACCAAAAGTCCCTGCTTCAGACAATTTTTAAAGATCAAAGTGGCCCTCCTGTTACACCTCTAAACATTATGCCACAGATTTCTTTCACTACTGCTCTACATCAAATTCCTCTGCTTGAAAATCTACTCAATCCAATGTAATATACGCAGGATGACTTTATGTACATCACAAGTTTTAGGTCTTGTTGTCATAAGCAACAGGAAGTGGTAGTAAACCCATCTGTAACCAGGGCTCTCATATGATGGAATGTTCATGCACAGAAAAAGATTCACTGTACACAGAAAACTAGAATACCAGTAAGAAAGCCAAGATATTAGACTAGAACCCTCCCTCAACCACCACCAACAAGCCTGCATGCTCATTTTCTATGTACAAGGAATATATGATCTCTCACCCGCAGTCTGAAGCAGAACAGCCCAAACATAGGCGAATTCCAGCCTAACAAGCCTTGTCAGCAGAAGCCCTGTGCAAGGACTTCCACTTGCACAATGGGGCTCCCCCCTATCCCCCTGCATGAGTCCCAAAACTGACTTGGGAGGGGGGTGTCAAGAGAACATCCAAAACACCTTGCAGGGAGGAAAGAGGGAGGGAGAAGGGCTGCAATACTTGCGCAGACAGAATGTTTTGTCCTATCACAATACTGAATTCCACCCATTGTGTATCATCTGCCATCAGAGACAAGACAGGAGTCTGAAATTTCAGGTTTTGCAAAATTAGAAGTTTTGGGTTAGCAGGAACAGCAGCAGTGTGAGAGGAGATGGGATGGGTGAGTGAGTGAGTGAGTGAGTGAGTGAGTGAAGGGCAGCAGGGAAGCATTGACAAGGGGAGTGCATCTCAAAAAATGCATGATTTGCAGGAAGGTTTTGCCTCTCATGGACAAGAAAGTTTCCCCTTCCTTAGCCCACGAGCTCTAATCCACTGAGCTGCCTTCCTGATTCCCTGCAACAGAGATGGGGAATCAATGCCCTCCAAATGCAGTTGGACTCCAGCTCTCATCAGTGCCAGTAGCCACAGCCAATAGTCAGGGATTGTGGGAACTGTAGTCCAGCAACATCTGAGATGGTTCCTAGATTAAGGTTACCAGATTTTATTCAATGAATCCAGGGACACTTTTCAACTTCAATGGGTTTTGTATGGGGACTGATTTGTAAATCCGGGGACGTCTGGTAACCTTATCCTAGATTCCCCACTCCTGCCCTAAGGGTTTAAAGATTGCAAAGATCAAATCCAAGCTCAACCTTACCTTCAGTTCTTGAAGCTGATCTGGCTCATATAGCTGAGCAGACACAGCCTGGGCCAGAAAGGCGTCCAACTCATGTCTATGCAGGATCCGACCCCCAGGCCATTGTATCATGTATCTTAAAAAAAAGAAAAATATGACAGAATTTATAAATCAAAAGAGTTACTCCACCACGTACTGGGGAGGAAAGGAGACCCAAGGGACACTTCCCAGCTTCTTTTTCTATTTAACTTTAATGCAGGAGGAGGTTACAAGCATTTTAACAGGAATAGCTAGATAGATAGGCATTTACACCTTGTATTTTCTTGGAAACTCAAAATGGGTAAATAGAATGTACTTTCAGTTACTAGAGTAAGTTTTGAGCCTCAAGTCAGGAGATGACGTAACTGGCACTCCACTCGCCCGTACACAGAGCCACAATTCTTCCAAATCCTGCTGTGCCATTCCACCCATCCTGTTTCAGGAGCCCTCTCTCCTGAGCATTCCCACCCATCATGCCCAGACCTGCCCCACTCACCGTAGCACACAGCACATAAGCAGCAGATGTGTGGGGACATTGGCGGGATTGAGCATGCCGGGGGTGTCAGATTTCATACAGGCCAAGAAGGCTCTCATGCGTCGGTTCTTGTCCTCCACTGCTTTGCCCAGCCACAGCTTCTTGAGGTTAGGACACGTCCACTCTCGAAAAGCAAGGGCCGATACCAATTCTGGAGTCTGTGGGGATTTCCCCTTGTACGCCGACCATTCCTTGACGATAACAGGAGGAGCTATGGAGGAAAGAACAGGGCACATCTGACTGCGAGGATAAAACACTTGCACACTGTTCCTGTAAGGAGACATAGAAGGCACTTCCCCAAGCTCACATGATCAGGAGAAACACCACTTGGACCCAGCCCACCTGGAGGACAGATACACAAAACCAGGATGCTGCCTATCAGTGACGACCGAACCTATTCAGCAGGCATGTACCGCAAGTCAAGGCCAACCTGTACCGCAGTTCAACACAATGGGCAATAAAAAAAGGCCCTTGCTGCCAATGAATCTCCATATTCCAAAAAGTGCCCAGGATACCTCTGGGAGGCCCACCTTCCACTTTTACGAACACAGCACTGGAACAGTAAAGCAACCGCAGGCTGAAGAAGGGATCACCTACTTTTCACAGGGATACGCTTGCGCACAGCCAGCCGTTCCATCCGCCTCTGGGTCTCAGCCACACTGAAGAGGACGCCATAGACATGCTGCCGCGCAGCCCGGAAAAGGACAGCTGCTGGCGGCAGCTCGGTGTTGCACTCATCTTCAATGCACACTGGGATCTTGATTTCACCCTGGAATGGAGGGTTGGAAACTGAGGGTCCAGGACTGCTGGCTCTCAGCCCCTGTGCTGCCCTCCAAGCCACCCCACAGAGAGCCAGTTAAAATAACTCAAAAGGTCCACTGCCCACCCCCAGCTCACCTTCGTTAGGACATGGTAGATGAATGGGTACATAAGCCCTCGCCGGTGCCGGTGCTCAGCCACCCGAAGCACCTCGGGGGCAACAGTGGGCAGGGGCGGGGTGGTGATGTCCATGTGGTTGCGAGTCGCCATGGAGAGCAGCGAAGGAATGTGAGCCTCAGGCCCACTCAGGTTCCTCTCTGAGTTGCCAGTGCCCCCAGGTGGCTGCCCCCAGCCCTGAGTCATCCTTTTCTCAGCCCCAGGATCCTCCCAGCCAGACTTGCGAGGTCCGGATTCAGAGACGTGGCTGCAGCAGTGAGAGGAAAGGGATACGCTAGCAGTCCCACACCCCGTGGCAAGCAGCAAAGCCAGGACCTGGCCCTTCTATCCAGCTTCTTCCCCCACCCCACCCCACCATAAGATCAGAACTGAGGAATCCTCCTGGTTCCACCATCCCTGCTCAATGCTACGCACTTTCCCAGACACATGAACAGCACTCATGGGCCCCTCCAACCACCCTCTTCCATACATCCATAGCTGCCACCCCCGTCTGTCCTGCAGATCTCAGAATGCCACTGCGTCCCCACTCACTTGGAGCTGGTTCCGTTGTGCTCTTCTCCATCGGAGGAGGAAGAGGGCGAAGACCCAGGCCCAGACGATGGGGAGGGCTTGGAACTCAGGTGGTGGTTGGGGAACTTGGCGGGGCAGTTGTCATATGAAACAGGCCAGTTGTTGAAGTGTCCGCCCTTCAGAGCAGGGTCCTCGTGGAAAGGGGCTGCATCCACCAGGCCATGTGGAGAGAAGAGAAAACTGGAGCCAGGGCCGGGAAGGAAAGACGAGGAGGCGGCAACACCGCCATGAGTGGAAGGCGGATGGTACTGCATCTTTGGCCCCATCTGAGGTGCAAACTGGAGATGGAAGCAAAGGGGGGGAAAGGGTTGACAGATTGTCATTGGAGCTACCTGAGCAAACCTGGAGAAGGGCCACAGCTTAGCAGCAGAGAACATGCTTTGCAGGCAGGTCTCTAATCCCCAGCATCTGCAGTAAAAAATGGGCTCAAAGAACAAGTGATGAGAGAGACCTCTGCATGAAACCCTGGACAGTGGCTGGCAGTCAGAAATAGATGGAGCCATAGCCTGATTCAGTATAAAGCACTTTTATGTGTTTCTGCGTGGGAGGACGGAATCAAGGCACAGAAATTTCTCCCTTTGGAGATATGGTCCAATCCTCTTTCTGCGATCATGTACTGTCTACATCTTTAGCTCAAGCAACTATACGAGTTAGAAACAAGAGTTTTATTTTTTTAAAGGCTGAGATGCCTATGATGATAACATGTGTCAGATGCCACACTCCATATGGTATCACAGACTCATGGAATGTGTACAGCCCTGGCTTGGCAGAAGACGCAATGCAACAGATTTTAAAGGAGGCAGTGGTAACAAGAGGGGATCATTCTCATGGTACAGTTTTATAGCTCTCCTTGAAATGGGACCAAATGCTCGCAAGAGCACCTGCATATGAATGAACTGCAGGTGCAGACCTACCCTTTGCAAACACAGAATTTGGCCTTGGTCAGCAGATTTATACTTTATGAAGAATGAGACAGACTGTGGTAAAATTCCAGACTGTACTACTTCAGTCTGAGTGCAGGAGGGAGAGGGTGTCATGTTTTTGAATGCTGTAAACTAGAGGAATATGTTTATAACAAGCCTCTCCTTTATGTGCTAGTCTGTTATACGTATGTGGCTTTTTGCATAAGAGAGCATTTTTTTAAAATAGCCATTGCTGCCTGAAGTAGCACAATCCAGAATTCTACTACCTCACCCTCCACTGAAATACAAATAAGCTTGTTGTAGGCTGGGCTTGCAACAAGCAACAGTCTCCCCTCAATAAACCAATGAGCAATAAGGAGGCACAGTCACTGACCTGTCTATCTTGAACACAGTAATGAACAAAATTGTCAAGAAAAGCTGAACATCTGCCTAAAGCAAGTCTGGGGACTTACCACAGCCTTCCCAGAAGGGAGCGGTACCATTGGATTGCGGTTCATAGGTGCTGCCCCTCCAAAGTGGTTGGGCCCAAAAGCTGGAACTGAAACACAGAATTGTCACCTTGTTAAAATACAGGAATCTCCATTTTCCCAGCACACCCTTGCCAGGACCATTAAAAAGACTGAGTGTGGATACCTGCCAATGTACAAGTTGGTTAAACTAGGATGTGGTTGATGAACATTTCAAAAAGCAGGTGTGAGCAGGGGGAGTCATATTTTTGTGTTATGAAGGAAAGTCATTTATGTCTTTCCCATGCTAGTGACTCTGACTTTGTACCTTTGGCCAACCTTATGGTACTCTGCCATGCTGCAACCCCTGCACATGGCAGCATGGTTTAGGAAAGTAGCTCTCAAAGATTTGCATAAATCTCCTGAGAAGAGGGTGGTGTTCAATACAGAATGAGGACACATACTTGGTCCAGAAATCCTGGAGGAATTTTGTCTGAAAAGTCACTCCAGACCAAAAAAAGAAAGGAGGGGGTGCTGATTGATATTCCAGTTCTCTTGTCCAGCAAAAGGCAAATAGTAGACTGCAGTTCACTGGCAAACCATTGTTCAATTTTCAACAGATTCCATATTTCCTGATTATTGAGATTCTTGCAAAAGATGCTGGACTAGGGGAATTTAAAGTCCACCAAGGCACCTATATCCTTAAACAAGTATGCATATTCAGAGGCAACTTAACCCAGATTAGCTATGCCTCGTTAAGAGATCCTGAGAATGCACTCTTGCTATGTAACTTTAACACACACCTGCGGACAATGAGGAATGGCTGTTAATAGTAGTTTTGTATGAGGGCAGAACGTGTGAATGGTGCAATGAGATTACCAGCACCTGGCCTGGAAAGGTGCTCCAGTGCCTTTAGCAGACCGTGACACAGAGAAGTTCAAAAGGTGGAGTTTCTGGCTCCCTGTAATGCATGGCCACTGGAAAAGCCACTCCAAACTTCTTCCAGCCACGTGGCTAATGAAAGGCACCCAAGCCCTCTTTGGGCCAGGAGGTGGCAATTCTAGAGAAAAGTGCAGACTTGATCTCTCCCAGCGGAGGGCGCCATAGGGTATCAGGCAGGGCCTCACCTTCTTGGACAGCGGGAGAAAACACGGCTGAGAGAGAGGTGAGGTTGACCAGCGCCGCCTGGATACTCACGAACATACGGGGACTGGCCCACTGGGGTAGGCGGTGCCTTCGTGGCCACGGAATAGTATTCTACAGCCTTCTTGAAACGCTCAATTTTATCTTCGGTCCTGGACTGGGGAGGAACCAGAGGAAAAGAAAGTGACAGGGGCGGGGACAGGAGTGCGGCCAATTGCAAGGCGCAATGGCATTCGGTGTGAAAATCCTACCGCCTGCTCAAGCCGACCAGCACAGAGGGCTTTAATGTTATGCGATCTGCTATTGCTATGGGGTTGGAGACACAGGCCACTATGAACCAACCAGCTGCTGTGGACTGTGGAGGCGCTGAAATGGGAACCCAGGATCTAACGCTCATTTTAGCAGTCCCCATAAATAAGCCTCTTTTCCTTCTGTGGATCCCTTTATCCCAAACCTCTCCACCGCCTGCAACTTTCACAGCAGCCGCGAGGATAGGTGGAAATTTAGCCCTGCACCACAGGCTCTGTCTCACCTGGGAGTGCTTGAAGACATCTCTCCCTATCACATCCAAGTTGGAGGGATTTTTGATGGAGCTGACATACTCGGACACAGCCTTGATGACTACATCACAGGGTGGCAGGACCAGCTGATGGGCGCGCACCTAGAACCAGGACACAAAGCTCTTAAAATCCCTGGCAAAGGCAAACAGCAGCAAGGCAACATCTCTGTGCTCTACAGGCCTGGTAAGCAACACCTTATTATGCAGCTCTTGCTAGTGACAGAAGCTCACCTGGTTCAACTGCCTTATCCCAAAGCAGGATCCTCTGCACATCACTGACTTTGACACCAGAGTTTAAGGGCAGATTCACATTGGGATAAGGCATGTCTGCTGGGGATACAACATATTGTTTGGCATTTGCTATACTAAAGAAATATGAAGCAAGAGTGCTGGAATCTCTAAACACGAAGGGATATGAAGTGAGCATATACCAGGAAAGCTGCAAATCGGCTACAGCTCCCTTCCATACACCCACTGCATGTCTGAAGTCATATTATCTCCTCTTCATACATTTTTGTGTTTGCCAAGTTACTTGGGAGGTATTCATTTTCTCAGACCATCAGGGGAGACCCTTCTCTGGGTGCGCTCCCATCACCTTAAGAGGCATGGCCTTTTCAGGAATGGTACCCTCCTTATCCCCTTTCACCTCCCAAGACCTTTCTGTTTAGCTAGTCCTTTGAGCAAGCATCACTAATGTACTTTGTTTTATCTTGGCTGTTGTATCGATTTAAAATGTTCTAATTCCAATGTAGGTTTTGTATGGCATTATTATAACTGTTTCCTAAGCCCCTTTGAGAACCCTTGTGGGGCTAGGAGACATACCTTTTCACACAAATAAAGATACTTACAACACAAATCAAACACTGGCATACCCCTGGCAAATACGACTGCCTAGGGCATAAAGCATGCACTGATCTTAGCTCCTTTACAGCAGCCAGCATGGAGCGTGACATTGGCAGAGAACAGGAGAGTAACCCATGCCAGAGGTTCATCATGAATTTCCTCTTCTTGTTGTGTGGCTAGATCCATCAAAAGTCCTCCAGCTATATGAAGCTGTGGCAGTAGTTTAAAAACAAAAAACTACACAAACAAAAATTATGCTGAAAAAATGCACCCTGACCCCCCCCCAAGAGTCATGCTGTGACTCTTTTTTCTAAACCTAGCCTAATTCCATTATATCTCTATACAGAAGTTGCTGAACTACAAATTCCATCATGTCTGACCACTGGCTATGCTGGGGCTGATGGAAGATGGAGTCCAACATCAGGAGAACTACCAGCCCCCACATGCTCCACCCCTCTTCCAGAGCTAGGGACAGAAATCTTAGTTTTTATTAGCCTTGGTCCAAACTGCATTTCTCCCACTTGTCTGAAGGACAAATGTCGTACGGAGTTCAAGTAGAGCTATCCTCAGCACCACCACTCTAAACATCAGAGCCACCCTTTCCCAGAACTGGTTTTGAAAGCACTGCCTCTCCCGCCGCTCTTCAGAAACAATCATGTCTCCCAAGAGTTGTGGACAAAAGATTTTGGAGTGCTAGTTCCAATGACCTCACAGTCTTTTCTCCTTAAGACACCACTGCACCAGTTCATTCCCCAAAGGGTTTCCTGCCCTGCTGCCCTCAAGACAGGACAAGGGGATGCTGGCACTACCTTGAGTGAAGCCAGTGGGTGGTCTGGTCCAAGAAGGCTCCAATGGAAGGCAGCCAAATCTTCATCTGGAAGGATGTGGTTCCCTGGGAGCAAAAAGGGAATAACAACTGAACAGTTGCCAACAAACAAGAGGATTCAAACCCTCTCCCCCGCCCCATCCAATTTATTTCTCTGCCTTTCCAATAGGTAAAACACAGGTATGCAGAAACAGGTCTCACTGGACTGAACCTGCTAGTGTTAAGGTTTAAGCACATTAAGTATAAAGGTAAAGATAAAGGGATCCCTGACATTTAAGTCCAGTCGCGAAAGACTCTGGGGTTGCACGGAAACGCTGTTTACCTTCCCGCCAGAGTGGTACCTATTTATCTACTTGCACTGCATGCTTTCGAACTGCTAGGTTGGCAGGAGCTGGGACCGAACAACAGGAGCTCACCCCGTTGCGGGGCCTCAAACCGCCAACCTTCCAATCGGCAAGTCCAAGCGGCACTGTGGTTTAAACCACAGTGCCACCCGCATCCCATACATTAAGTATAGTGTGATGCTAAAGACTCTCCGGCACACAACACACACATATCCACATTCTAGTACAGAAGTTATAAACATTTGCATGGAGCTACTTAATATGCACATGTTCCTCCAGCTGAAACAAAGCACAAATTGAATCCAAGCCCAACCAAGGTGGCGGAAGTTCCTAAGGAGAGCGTGTCTGGAGTTATCAATACCTCATTCTGAGAGGAGCAACTTGAATTCTCTGTCCACATTCAATTTCTCTCTGTGGAAGCTTCTTGTGCCAGAAATGACCCAGAAATTGCAAGCACATTTGGCTTCCATCCACGTTCTAGACTTCTGCCAATATAGTGTTCAGCTGGACTCATAGGGACTGTTCTTATGGCCTTGACCAAGGCGTCTCGTAAAGTTTTCTGAGGTCATAGGTATGGTGGATCACTTACAGAACCACTTTCCAGATGCTCCCATCCTCACTCAAAGCCTTTTCCCTGAGGAAATATTAAGCACTCATGTCCTGAACAGAATTTAAGTTCTCTCTCATCTTCACTGCACGTTCCTCTTCTTTCTCATATTGAAAAGACACACATTGGTGAGGGGCTGTAGCCTAGAGGTAATGCCATCCCAGTTAAAAATATCTTATCCTGGAGAGCTGCTGCCAGTCAGAGCAGACAATACTAGGCGGGCTGGTCTAACTCTGCACGGATCCGATATAGCAGAAGGCAGCTTCATATGTTCAGACAACCTTCCGGTTTCTTTCTAGTTCCTGCCAATACTAGTGCAGTGTAGTGATTTAGCGTGTTGCACTAGGACCCCACTCAGCCATGAATGGTGACCTTGGGCCAATCAGTCTCTTAGCCTAACCTACCTCACAGGGTTGTGGTGAAGATAATTAAGGGTAGCGGTGAAGAACCATGTGTCCCACCTTGAGCTCCTTGGAGGAAAGGTGAAATATAAATATAATAATTAGATAAATAAATACGCAGCAGCCCTTTGCCAATATCTGGACACATCCTAACCCTCTTTTTCTTTCCCCCAGATCAGAGACTCCCAGCTTGAGTAGCACCAAACACTGAAGTTGGGGGGAAGTTGAGGAAGTTGGGAGTTTGAAAATGATTTTAGCACCTGTAATTTGACAGTCCTTCCTGGGTCTCTCATTAGCCCAAGAGATACCAGACATTCCATCTGTAAAATTAAGCTGGATCTTGGGTTTGCCCAGAGACACCCTGGGAATGCTTTGGTTGGGCAGAGAAAAGGCTGTGTGTGAAACATTTCACTAACACAATTTTTTGAGTACTTCTACCCCTCATTTTAAAGTCAAGTTACTGAAATATATGCTGCTGAACTGTGCCACTGCCTACTCCTGCTGAGTTTATGCTTCACTCTTTTTACAGCCTTCACAACAACTGTGGGAGGTGAGTTAGGCCAAGGGAGAGCATCTTGCTCATGGCTGCCTAGTTAGCTTTTTGCCCAAGCAGGGAATTGGACCCAATCCTCTGAAACCTTCACTCACTTCACCACTCAGCCCATCCAGTTTCAACATACCGAGCAAGGCAGCAAAGATGGGAAAGCTGCTTAGCTTGAGGCCCAGCTGCTTGGCCACTTCTTGCATCAGGAACTGGTTGGTGGTGAGGTTCTTGCCATTCCAGCTCAGTTTGAGGGCATGGGAGCTATAATAGGAGGGTATGTTGCAGAGGGCATACTCGGAGTCATGGGCAATGAGCCCATGGAAACCATTCTCCCGGAAGAAGGATACCACTTCCTGATGATGATCCTCCAGGCTCTGGAACACCTGCAGAAAAGAAGGGACGAGGCTGAGTAAAAAGGCACACTGCAGCAAAGCTCTTTCGTGCTTTCTGTTAAGCCCCCCCCAGTACAGAATTCACTTCAGGGCAATTCCTCCACAGGCTCCATCTGCTTATATATGCAGGAAAGCGGCTCACTTCCCTTTGGAAGCTGAAAGGTATGGCATGTGAATATCAAAAATGTCATCAGAACAAGGTGTCTAGACATCATGTGTTTCAGTTTCATGCTGTTCCACAAATTCTGGTTAAAGTTAACCGTGGTCTGTGATAAATTCAGGGCAAATATAACACTAAAGAGGAAGGAGGAGAATTAGAAGAGGAAAGGGAGTGGGGAGGAAGAAGGTTCCTATCTCTTAACCATGATTAGGAGATTGTAAAATATTACATGTACACTAGGATTTAGGTGTTGACAATTTTCAAGAGAGATCCCACACTACAGGTTTTATCTCACACTACAGGTTTTATCTCATATCAAGTGGGTCAACAGCCTTCCTTCCTTCCTTGTTTCTCAAAAAAAAAAAGACATTATATACACCAGAGATCACTACTATGCTGCTTTCAGGTGCCATCTGGCATCCATGAATTTCTGAGTTTTTCTATTCCCTTCCCCCTTTGGTAATGAGGTGGTGAGGATGGTTACCTGTTTCTCACTTGAAAAGTACACAGGGCTGAAGGAGGAAGCTGGAATAGTGATGTTCTTTGTCACTTCCCTTTTCAGCTCTATGTGCTTCTCAGGACTCACAGTCCCAGATCTGACTTTTACCTAGACCCCTTGGGAAAGTGAAGTGTGTGCACTTCTATTGCTCAGTCCTGGTGGTGTGAGGGTGGAGAAGAGAAGTTATCAGAGGGCATGGCACCCACAGCACTCACTCCAAATGTGCCCAAATTTAAGTTTTCTATTTTGCAAAATTTGAATAAATATATTTATAAAAAAAAAACAAATGTGCCCAGAGGCCCAAAATAGTTGGCACCCGTAACCTATACAGTTAATGGTTTCCTGTGATTCCCTACATATTTCTCAAGAGGGGACAGAGGCTGGAAAGCTATTTTAGTGTGAGAAAGAAACCAAGCAAAACAAACTGGAAGCAAGACAGAAACTCTTAAAAACCAAAGATGATTAATGGCAAAGCAGTGAGAACATTGCTGTTTATAATCTTTCAAATCAGGATTTTAAAAAACAATATAAAGGCAGATCCTGGGGTTTTTTTTTACAACCCTGTTATCCAACTATTGAACATTTAAGGGACTGGGTCCTGTCACTGTAATCTTAAGGCTTTATTCCTCTGTCCCAACCCAAAAATAAATAAGTTTTTTGACATTTAATGGGAAGCAAGACGTTACTCTTGCTATAAATGGCGGCCACTAGCATTTCCTTGGTGATTGTTAGTCCTTTAGCTGAAATCTTTAGCCGTTTCAGAAGAATATTTTGCAAACCCCTAAGGCTTAAAGATCCTGTCCCTGAAAAACATGAAAAGGGCTTCCTAAAGATGATGCAGAAATATTTGCTAGGAAGGATTAATGGATAAAATGATGGAATTCATTCCTACAAGACACGGTGATGGTTCACTAGCTCAATTAGCTTGTATAAACTATTTTTTGTCAAATTCATGGAGAATATGACCATCCATACTCACATCCATGATAGATAAATACCTTTGATATTCAGAGGCATAAAACCTACTGAATACCAGGAGCAAGCCATCAGCTTTGTGCTCCCAAAGACTAGGCTGGTTGTTAGACTCCATAGACATCAGGCTGATTCAGCAAAGTTGGCTGCCTTCTCCCACCTGCAATTTTGGAAATTTAACTTCATTGGATCAGAAATTCAAGTGTGTCTCTGCTTCTCCTGCCGCCTCTCAAACATCTGTCAATTATTATTTTTATTTGTGTCCTTTCCTGTTTCCTGCATTGAATGATTCCATGCCCACCCACCCAGTAAATACAGAATGCTGGTATTGCTGCTGATTGTTCTATTTCATCCAAGAGCTTAAATCATACTCTGTCCTTCCTTTCTTATAGGTTCATTGCCCTGAGAAACACTAAGAGCCGTAGCAATCACCAGAAAAATAGCAAGACAAGTACCAACATACTCATATGCATTTTATCTGTATGTTATCAACATCTAGCATCATCACAATCTGTCTCCACACAAGCCAACAATAAGACCTAATAATTTCAGGACAGTGTTAGAACTTCACCAGGCACCAGGTGTGTTTTGCGACTGGAGCAAGTCCAATTGTGACCACATGGAGATCGCCAGGCTGGCGACCGACATCTCCACCTGGCTGCCCCTCCAACTTTCTTAAGCAGGTAAGCAAAAGAGCTTATTCACTGTATTTATACCCCACCTTTTCCCCCAAGGAGTCCATGGTTCACCCCGTCCTAAGTTAATTCCTACAATGTCCCCATGAAGTAGGTTAAGAGGCTGTGACTGGCCCAACGTCACCCAGTGAGCTTCATGACTGAGTGGGGATTTGAACCCTGATCTCCCAGGTCCTGGTCTGACACTCTAACCACTATACCACCCTGGCTTCCTTGAGTATTTCTGCTATGGGGCAGCTGCATAAATTAGGAAGGTAAATAAATATAGGGGAAATCAAATGTCCCTTAGAGAAGGATCTGAAATATTTCCCTTGAAGCTTGAATTTGTTTTATTCTGGATTCTTTTATTTGCTGTTTTAATGTGTCGTAAACTGCTATGATATTTTTTTCTTTAAAATATAGAACAGTATAGAAAAGAAGCAAATAATCACAACAAATTTCATTTAAAAAAAGATGCATAGACCAGTGTTTCCCAACCTTTTTTGGGCAAAGGCACACTTGTTTCATGAAAAAAATCTCGAGGCACACCACCATTAGAAAAGGTTTTTCCGTTTTGGAGACGCTTCGCAAAACGAATTTCCCTATGGGCTTCCTTCGCAAGACGAAAGCCCATAGGGAAATCTCCGGGACAGGGCGTCTTGCCCACTGTCCTCGGACCTCCTCCCGCCGCCAGGCTTCGGAAGGCTGCTTTGAAGCCTGGCGGGGGGCGGAGAGGTTATTTAAAAACCCCGGGACAGCGGAGGACTTCTCCGCTGTCCGGGGCGATTTTAAAATGCTGCCGGGCGGCAGCGCTGCCGCCCAGCAGCATTTAAAAAAACCCCGGGACAGCGGGGGACTTCTCCTTTGTCCCGAGGTTTTTTAAAATGCTGGCGGGCGGCAGCGAAGGCTTCGCTGCCGCCCGCCAACATTTTAAATTCGCCCCGGACAGCGGAGAAGTCCCCCGCTGTCCCGAGGTTTTTTAAAATGCTGGCGTCTTCCCCTTTCTCCCCGGACCTCTTTTGAAGCAAGGGGCGGCAACGCGGAGAAGCGATCTTCTCCCCGTTGCCGCCCCTTGCTTCAAAAGAGGGGACAGAGGGAAAGGCGCGCGCCTTCCTCTCTCTCCCCCCGGACCCCTTTTGAAGCAAGGGGCGGCAAAGGGGAGAAGCGATCTTCTCCCCGTTGCCGCCCCTTGCTTCAAAAGAGGGGAAGGCTGGCGGGGGGCGAAAATCTTTGTCCCCCCTGCCTGCCTTCCCGGGAGGGCTTTTAAATCGCCCCGGACAGCGGAGAAGTCCTCCGCTGTCCGGGGCGATTTTAAAATGCTGCCGTGGGGGGGGGAGCAAAGACTTTCGCCCCCCCAGCCTTCTGAAGGGTGGCGGGGGGGGCGAAAATCTTTGTCCCCCCCCTGCCTGCCTGCCTGCCTTTAAAAGCCCTCCCGGGGGAGCGGAGAAACGCACTGCGTTTCTCCGCTCTCCCCGGAGGGCTTTTAAAGGCAGGCAGGCAGGGGGGACAAAGATTTTCGCCCCCCGCCAGCCTTCAGAAGAGGTCCTCGGCAGAGGCGCGCGCCATAAGACGGGTGTCGCGTGCGGAGCCTGGCTCGGGTCGCCAATGCTGCGGGCGGACATGGCGAGCTGGGCGGGACTCGGGCGCGCGCTGGGCGCCTGCTGCCTCCTGGGCCTCTTCTGCGGCGCTGCGCTGCCCTTCTCGCTGCAGGGCGCGAACGAGAAAGCGCCCGCCTCCCTCCCACGGCACACCAGGTAACGTCTCGCGGCACATTAGTGTGCCGCGGAACACCGGTTGGGAAACACTGGCATAGACATTGCGTTGTGGCAACCATAACCTTGGTTTAAGGTGCCATTTGGTGATTAGCTGATATACCTGAGTTCCTAACCCTGTTTTCAGGACCACCCATCCACACTTTGAAAAGACTGCACTCCTAAGGCAACACACTCATATGGTAGGTCACCGAAAGCCAAATGACATTCCAAAAATGAACAACAAAAGAATTTGAAAAGTTATTTCTTGTAACTAAAATCTTAGTTTAAAAGATTAAAGCCACAATCATGATAGACAGCTCAGAACATGGCCTCTGCTCCAGTACACAGCCCCCTAGTTTTTTCTTTTAAGGAAGAGGGGGGAGAAGCAAGTTCCTAGATCTCTCCCTCCCTCCCTCTCTTTTTTTACAGGAAGAGAACCTTAAAAACATGAAGGGCTATTTCTGCTAAATGCCTACAAGCGACATGGTATCTCAGTATAGAATCCAGCAGAAAGTTGCCACACTTCACTGTGTATGAATCCCCATCCTTCCACATGTCTCTCTTGCTTTATACACTTACTGCTTCCAACCATTTTAAGAGCCTCACTCCCTGCTCTCCCATGACACACAGTATTGAAAACAAAATGGTTTCGTGCAATAGAGCAAAATTTAGACACACAGGCTTCATACCGTAATGGACTTGAAGCACTGACTCTGAACTGCGAGAGACTGGGATTTCTTTAGCGCAAAACCCAAGACCTCTTAGCAAAAATGAACAGGGAGAATAGAATGGAATGCTCAGCAGCAAACTATTAAGAACTTTTGCTCTGATTTGAGGCTTCGGTTCCCTTCAATCCATCCAGCCCACAATATACAGAAATACACAGGTCAGCATCCAAAGAGCTGCTTCTATACTAGCCCAGGCTTGGGCATACTCATTGGGTTTCCATTCCTCTTTTCTCTGCCCCCCACCCTGACACAATGGAACAGCCAACCAACCCGGATTATTATAATCTGCTTTTGAAATCTCCCTCAGTTTTCAAAACTGGACTGTGGTATGGGAACTAACATTTTGAGAAGCCCAAGTTCAAAGATTATTTGGATGTATGGGACTTAATGTGGAATTGTTTGGATCTTGCCCACTGCAGAGATAACTGTACAAGACTAATACCAAAACCTAGTTGGGTTCAACTGTTTCCCACCCCTAAACAACATACAATCCAGATTTAAAGTACTTATTTCAAATGGAATGATTTAAGGGCAGATTTCAATTCTCTCTCTGAAATTAACAGGGCTTTATTAAAAGTGTGTGCCCAATATTGTAAAACTGCTTTTCCAAATGCACTCAAAGTGGTGCTGAGAACACACTTTTTAAAAATGGGTTGATCATTTATTAAATGAGGCTGTATTTAAAGCTCATCTGTTTCAGGTCAGCTGTTTCCAAAGCTTATTCAACTTCAGCTGATCTCCAAGCCTTTGCTTGCCAATTTACCTTTGGCCTCAGGAGGTTACATGCAGCTATTTGAGGGAATTTAGCTGAAATCCAGTATTCTCCACCTGCAGCCAGACACGTTGCTCCAAGCACGCCATAAGAACAGTCTTGTTGGATCATACCAAAGGCCCATCTAGTCTGCATCCTATTTTCACACTGGCCAAGTAGTTGCTTGTGCTTCTTGTAAGTGTCTTTAATGTTTGTCTTTAAAAAGGCCAGCAAACCCATCAAGTTCTATACAGGAGATGGGCAGCTTGTTCAACACTGAACGCTGTGACCAATTGCATATCTCACACGTGAATGACAGAAATTGCACTGCATTTTTAAATGACACTAGAAGATAACCAAGCTCCAGTTCAGCATGGGCATAACTGCAGTTATTCTGCAGTACTAGAATTCTCAAATAAGGTAAAGGTACCCCGGCCCGTACGGGCCAGTCTTGACAGACTCTGGGGTTGTGCGCCCATCTCACTCAAGAGGCCGGGGGCCAGCGCTGTCCGGAGACACTTCCGGGTCACGTGGCCAGCGTGACAAAGCTGCATCTGGTGAGCCAGCGCAGCACACGGAAACGCCGTTTACCTTCCCGCCAGTAAGCAGTCCCTATTTATCTACTTGCACTTGGGGGTGCTTTCAAACTGCTAGGTTGGCAGGCGCTGGGACCGAGCAGCAGGAGCGCACCCCGTCGCGGGGATTCGAACCGCCGACCTTTCGATCGGCAAGCCCTAGGCACTGAGGCTTTTACCCACAGCGCCACCCGCGTCCCAGAATTCTCAAATGGCTATCCTCAAATATGAAGAACTTGTTGAACAACACTTGGAAAATCCTGGTAACAGGGACCTAGAAATCACAAGGATTGGATATACAACTTTGGGCTTGCCTTTACTTGCTTTACACACAGATTTGAAAGGTGTATGTGAGAGAGAGAAGAGAGACAGACAGACAGAGGGAGGAAGGGACTAACTAATGCAGGCTTCCTCAACCTTGGCCCTCCAGATGTTTTTGGCCTACAACTCCGATGATCCCTAGCTAGCAGGACCAGTGGTCAGGGATGATGGGAATTGTAGTCTCAAAAACATCTGGAGGGCCGATTTTGAGGAAGCCCGAACTAATGTCCATCTTTTACATTCTTAAATCGCTTTACAGACATTAGTAATCAGTAATCATGACAACAACCCTGTAAGGTATATTGTCAGCATATGGGAGGGACCATATGGGAGGCTGAGAGAACAGTGGTTTGCCTGAGACCACATAGCAAGTTTGTGGCCGAGATTTGAACATGGAACTTCCTGGCCTCACGCTAACAGCCACTATGTGACACCAGCTGACATGGGACAAGCTCACATACCCACTTTTCCCACTGCTGCTGCTGCTGCTGCTGAATTCTATTCCCACTGCTCGGTTTTTCTCGCACACATCTGCCTACAGAGACCTTTTTGATTGTCATTTCAACCAGCCCCCTAACCCCGCAAGGATCATGCAAAATGCTGTGCAACGTCCAGGCAGGGCAACTCAGGGACTTCTCTTGGTCAATTTCAGATTTGAATTCCAGTTGCCAGAACCAAAGACTACAAAGACTATCATACCATGCTGTAAGGGGATTCGCCAATTCTTGTTCTTCCTGAGCGTGTCTGCGTTACCTACTGGGGGGGCTGGCGGGGGCTACCCTATATTGCCTTACATTACTTCATCTAATGTACCTCTGCCATTTGCCCACTGTTAGGTATTGGGAGCAAACCATCACCCTTCACAGGGCGAAATGATTCAAATATATTTTGATCTGGATTAGCAGTATAATGCTTTAGACTAGAGCACTTCGGTGTGAGCATGAGGGTGTGGGTTCTAATCCTGTTGAATGTCATTTTCTTGTATAAAGCGTAGTACGCACCTTGCTCTTATACCAGAAGCCTACAGAAGCAACTGCACATCCAACTGTGTCCTAGATACTAACTTTAGGTGTTGGTCCAGTCCACATTGTTCTATCAAATTTTAGTTTTCCTAGCAAAAGTAAACAGTACAGTATAGAGTTCACACAGCCATAGAAAACTCAACCCATGACACTTTGCTAATTTCAATCCTACAATTGTCCAGGCTTGGCTTAAATAGGTGACGCAAACACTCTTGTATTATTTCTTATTGCACAGATGGTTACACTGAGAAGATCTGCCCAGAATTAGTCATGTTATTCTTTCAGCAAAACACAAATCTAATGCCAAAAGCATTGGCTTCAGAAATATTAATGAATCAATTAAAGAGAGATTACAAAACTTTAAGTACTTAAAAAATAGAAGAAAGAAGGAGAAGGGGCAGAATGTAACGGGCTTGAATAATGGATGGCTAGCGTGAAGAGACACAGCAAAAATTTGGTTAATAAGCTGCCAGTCACTTGGGCTAAGGAAGAATTGCAGCCTGTGGTAACTTTGTAAAAACTGTGCCTGTGGTAAGGAAGAATTACTTCCAGTTGACCAAGCAGTGGAGGTTTTATAACTAAGTAGAAAACTGATTATTTCAGACTGCCAATATGTCATAAATCAGGGGTGAGGAAAACTCTGGCTCTCCAGATGTCGCTGGCTGGTGCTAATGGGAGATGAAAGCCATTAATATCTAGAAGGCCACATGTTCTCCACCCCTGCCCAGTGAAAACAGATGCACTTGGATGGACAACATAGTAGACCTTTTCCAGAGTTTGAAACTTCTGCAGATTTTATTTTATTTTATTGCAAGGTCAGGCTATAAGTCAAGAAGGGTGCTCCACTGCTTGATGTTTGGCTCTCAGGTGAACTACAACTCACATATTGACTTTGCCTGGAATACAACAGTCTAGGCAATAGAATTAAAAATGCATAGGGCAAAATAAAAGGCAGGCAATAAGAGATATCAGTGGCAGACAAGGTGAGGGCGACACCTCTGCAAAATTAGTAGGCAGAAGGCCTTAACTGTAAGGAAAGCTGCCAGAGCTGCTGGACAGGGAAGGCAACAGGTGCCGAGTGACAAGGAATTCTGAGAAAACCATGAGAAATCTGGAAAACCATGATGGGCAACAGATGAACGAAATATAACAAAAATGCCCACTAAAATGGGAGTCAGGAAACAATGAGCGCGAAGGAGTGCAAGAACCAACAGAGATGGTCAACGTTTCCGAAGCAGAACTCTACGAAATGCGATGGGATGCGTTCGGGATGGTGGTGTGGGCCTTACCTTGACCCGGAATCGAATCATGGCCAAGCGGACGCAGTGCCCCAAGCAGGCCGGGGGAAGGAACCAGGCCCGGGGTGGCGGGGTCCCCTTGTTGCCCACATGCCCAGCGATGAGCTGGGCTGTCTGTCTCTCCGCCTGCGCCTTCCTGCCCCACTCAGGCAGCCTCTCCTTGCCCAGCCCTCCGTTGAAGATGACAGCCAGCTCCAGCCCGCCTTGGTAGAGGCAGGCCTGCGAGAGGGCGGCCAGGTAGCCCACCATAGCATTCCACTGGCCCCCGCACACCCAGTCCGTCTGGTAGCCGCCGTAGAGGCGCTGCAAGGCCGAATCTGCATCCACCAGGAGCCGAGCCGGGCACGGGCCGGCGGCGGGGGGGCCGGGCAAGGGCTGGGGGTGGCCGTAGGGGCCGGCCCCGGCCACGGCTCCCAGGCCCGGCGCGGGCCCGGCGGGGGGCGGGTAGCCGGCGGGGGGCGGGTGGAAGGCGGCGCAGTAGGCAGGGCCCCCGCCGCCCCGGCCCCCGACGGCCCGCGCCAGCTTCAACAGGTCCACGGGCACCACAGCCCCCGGGCAGCGCTTCTCCACGAACTCCTGGAAGCCCTGCACCCCCATGGCGGCGCGCGGCGGAGGGGTGCGAGCCCCACTTCCGCGACGGGGCGGGCACCCCCGGAACCAGGACCTGGCACAGGCAGAGCTGCTCCAGCTCCTGGCGCTTGGCTCCTCACAGCGCCCGGTTCGTGGGAATGGACGCGGCCGCCATGTTGTAGCTTTCTTCTCCTTCTCCTCCTCCTCCTCCTCCGCTCCTCCTCCTTCCCCCGCAGCTGAAACCGGAGCCCGTCGGGAAGTGTAGTCCCATTTCTGCTGGGTCTCTCATGAAGTCAGAAGGACCATGCGAGGCGGCAGGACTACAACTCCCGGCAGGGCGGGAAAGGCGCCATCTTGTTATGATTTCTTCGCGCTTTCCAGGGGCCACATAGCTTCATGGGACTTGTAGTCTCAGGGAAAGTTGTTCTCCGGGCCGCCAAAAGCTGGAGTCGGCCGACTTGGGACTACAACTCCCGGTGGCCTGAGGGGTCCGCCATGTTTTTGTACGGATTGATCTCTCCCTTGTGAGTTTGCGCGGCCTCACGGGAGGGGCGGAAGTCGGAGGCTCATTGCGAACGTAGACTTGCAAAGCGCCACAACCTGCAGCCGGCCTCGCGCCGCCTCATACGAAAGCCTTCCTACGTTTTTATTTCGCCGCTCGGTTTCACCGGCTCATGGGCAGTGTAGTTCCCCCACCTGGAAGGAAACAACATCGCCTCAGGGTTGGGCTCCCGTAACGGGAGAAAGGCCGCCCGGAAGGGGAGCGGGTGCCTGGTTGGGCGCCATATTGTCACGTTTCTGTGTCCCGCTTGGCATGCTGGGAGACGTAGTCCGGATCGCCCAGTCGAGGAAGGAGAAGGGCGCTACCCAGCATCCTGTTCGCGCTTTGAAGGGCCTCAGAGGAGCCGAGGCCGCCACCGGGAGTCGCGCGGTGTTTGCTGGGAAGGACGCCGCCGACAGAATCCGGCGGGACTGGTTGCCAGGCAGACTGGCCCCGCCATGAGGGAAGGCGAGGTAACTGCTGTTATGGACTGAAGTTCTCACCCTGGGCCAGTAGGGGGATACTGTATATAGTTTTCACTCAGGTCCACATATGCAAATAAGGGATTGAAAGTGACATTCAGTGATTGGCTAGTTACAGAAAGTTGTTACAGTTGCGTTGTAGTGGAGCTCTATATAAGCAGGATGGCTGAACCGTTCAGTTCAGTTCTGGCCTGTGAATAAACAAGAGCTGTTTGAAGAATTGCTGTGTCGTCTGATATGTTCACCCACAGCTTAACAACTGCCTCGGGCAGCAGATCCCTGTGCAACTCTTTCTTCCCCGCTTGCTCCTGAAGCAGATCTTCACTCCACTTCGGGAGGGATGGTGCTTCTCCTGCTGCCAGGTAAACAAGAAGAGCCACTTCTGCAGGATTTGCACAGGGTCCGAGACCCCAGCCCGCCTTTGGCAGAGGCGCACGGAGCCCGGTGGGTGGATCGGTGCGGAGGCAGTGTGGCACAGTGGTTAGAGTGGCCTGACTAGGACCTGGGAGAGACTATGGTTCAAACCTCCCGCTCGACCACAAAGCTCACGGGATGTGGCGGGGGGGGGTGCAGTCGCTGCCTCTCGGCCTAGCCTACCTCACAGGATAGTTGTGGTGTAGTAGCTGAGGATGGGGGAACGCAGCATCCCTGGAAGAAAAAGTGGGATCTAAATGCTACAAATGAAGAAACATGCACACACGGGAAGAAAGCGCGGTAGGAGATAAGCCGAGTTTCTGAAAATGGGGGAATTAAAGGCCTAGACCACTTCAAGACCATTGGTAACAAGACCATTGGGCCACAAGCCTCCCATGAAAAGGAAGGAATAACTTCTCTCAGGGCAAGCCATGCACTCCTACCTGTCCATGCACAGCCGGCACACACCTGTCAGGGGAGGCTGCATATTTCCCTGCACATTTCGCCAGGTGGGGCTGTATGCTCAGCAGTGACAGAGCATCTTATGAAGCCCTCTAAGCAAGTTCGGAGCATTGTTTCCAGCGTGGAAACAGCCTGTTTTTAAACCGTTCCTAAAGGTAAAATGTTAGCGACGCAGGTGGCGCTGTGGTCTAAACCACAGAGCCTAGGGCTTGCTGATCAGAAGGTCGGCGGTTCGAATCCCCGTGATGGGGTGAGCTCCCGTTGCTCGGTACCTGCTCCTGCTCACCTAGCAGTTCAAAAACACATCAAAGTGCAAGTAGATAAATAGGTACCACTCTGGCAGAAAGGTAAATGGCGTTTACGTGCGCTGCTCTGGTTCGCCAGAAGCGGCTTAGTCATGCTGGCCACATGACCGGGAAGCTGTACGCCGGCTCCCTCAGCCAATAAAGCGAGATGCGTGCCGCAACCCCAGTCATCCGCGACTGGACCTAATGGTCAGGGGTCCCTTTACCTTTAAAGGTAAAAGACTCATGGCCATGTGTACGGTATTTTCCCCTTTTAATACGAGGGTGGATTTAGGCAAATTTCTCCTCTGTCTAGATAACTCTTACCAATGTGCATTTTATAGGGTGGGAGGGAACGATAAAAAGAACCACAGCCTCGATTGCATGGTGATCTGGTTCCGCAGTCCTCCACTGCTGGCAATTGGTATGGGTGAAATTGCAACCATACCCAGCAAAATGCTGCTAGCTTGCAACCAAGCGATGCAGCTGTGCCTGAGGCAGCCACCCTCACCTACCTTCCCTGAGAAGCAAAGAAGCTGTGACTGATAATAAACACAAAGAAATCCACCATCCCAGAGTGGGCAATATTAGGACCAACCAAAATTTCTTCAAAATAGTGGGTGAGCTGTTGGGTTTTCCGTAACTCTTCATCCTTCTGGTTATTAAATGTGTGAGGGTGTAATAGGAAAAAGCTTGCTTGAAACTGAAACTGAAATGACAATGTGTGCAATTACTCTGAGCATGGAGATTGCAGGCTTAACTGGATGAGGCTCTTAACAGGTATTGCACAGGTTTCAAGTTGCACCCAGGATCACCAAATGGCTAATCCCCATAATGCAGGGATTGCCAGTGTGCCATGGTACCCTCCATGTGTCCCCCTAGTGCCCACAAAGCCTCAGCCGCCTGCCCCCTTGGGTTGGAAGGGAGGTTTTTCTTCCTTGAGAGAAGTTAGAAGAGTGGCACTATTTTTCAACACCTCTTTCAACTCTGCTTTTCAAGGCTCAAGTTAATTCTACTGGATCAAAATTTTACCAAGATCCCTTGGGAAAGTGAGTGCATGTGTGTGCTTTCTTTTCAGTGTATGTGTGGTAATATGACTAAATGATGTGATGTCCATGACGTTCACTCAAAAATCGAAATGTGCCCCACAGACTTTAAAGGGTTGGCCACCCTGTTCTAATGCTTTGCTTAATGTCCAATCTGATGAACAGTGCTGAAGAACTCAAAAACTTGTTTACTACTTTCCTAGTAAAGGAAACCGTGGGTTTTAGAATATTTTTTACCCCACATGGCTGTTAAGAGGATAGATGGGGTTTGGGGGACAAGATTTACACTGCCCTTGTATGAAGGCCAAGATAAAATTATAGATAGGCTTACATAGATATTCATGCCACAACAAAGTAATAATTTGAATAATAGAATATTAGGGAGGGGGTTCTCTTGTGACTGATCAGGACTGGATATAATCCATAACTTACCTTTATTAATTGAAAAATAAAGAATGAATCAGTTTTTTAAACAAAAACTAAACACACCTTTATCTAAGATTGTGCACTAGATAAGAAGGTGCAAACTATTACAGCAGAAATTAAATAAGATTTTTCGAGGTAAGGGAATGCAGCTGCCCCAAAACTTGGTGTTTTCTTTTTCTACCTCTGGAATCTCTCTGGATTGCTGGTGTTTTAAATTTATATACTCATTTAACAGATTTTTCTGCCATCCTAACAAAAAGTTTTCAGAGCACTCTTCAAAGTTACAAACGAAGAGTGCATATTCAGGGCATACTTCCTATCCCAAACTTCCATAGCACTTGAAGTTTTCGCTCCTGGGCTTCAATGTATCTAAAATGCAATGTTTCAATGAATTAGTAGATGAACAAGTATTGCTAAGAAAGAAGCCACAATACCCTAATATTTACACTGTATTTTCCAACAATACTATTTATTTCCTATGGCTTTCCCTCACCCCTCTTTAGCAGAAATTGCAGTAACATCCAGACTATATTTAATTGGATTTTTTTTTCAACACAGCCTTTATTTTCCTTTATAACAGTTTAAAAAAATATTTGTTAATGGTTGTGTACAAATGAAGTCAACTCACAGCTTGCAAAAATAATTAAAAAACACATGGAAACAACTGCTGATAAAAGACATTCGTTTTCTACCATAAAGTTCTGGGCTATGATTTTTCAAAAACTGAATGGGATGCCTCATCCCTGTTAACAATGAACCGGTCACCTGCATCCTCTATGCAGCCATAAAAATCTCAGCCTTAATGTAAAAAAGTAAAGAAAGGGTTTTTAAAAAATAAGTCCTAAGATGCTACATTAAAGTATAATTCACATACATAAAAAATATTTCTGAAATTCAGAAGTTGTTAGCAAGTATGGAAATCTAAGGAGACATTTATTCACAGCATATACCTGAATTTATCATGCTGTTTTAGTAGGCCTGCATGCTCCTCAGCAATCTCTAGCAAAAACAAAAAACAGAATGAAAGACCTTTTTTAAATAGAATATAGTAGTTTTAACTGAGAGGTCTTTTGTTTGCTTGTTTGAAGCTGCATTAGGAACCTCAAAGACAATTGCACTTCCAAAATGGCTGCCAAAATGTATGGTTAGGAGTTCTCTAAGGCATAAATGAACCAAAACAACACCCTTCTAGGATGCTTTGAAAATACAAAAACAGAAGTTTGTTCCTAGTCTTGCAAATTAAATCTATGGCCCTGGAAGGGAGAATTAAAGCCTTACTCTTTTGCATTTTCTTCCAAGAATTTACGTATATTTGTGCTTGCCTCTATCTGTGGTACAATTCGGATATATTTTACCACAGATTCCAATAAAAATGTTTTCCTTGCTACTTGACAGGACAGGGACACCTCTTTTCCCCTCCTCTGCAGCCACCATCTTCTTCCTTCTGTCAGATGGAAGTGAGAAAAAAGAGCTTTGTATATAACAAGTGCCCTACAAGGGGTTGGTTGAAGCGTAACAGGCCACAACGTGCTCCACAGGACTTTCTGCGCTTTCTGCACCATCACTAAGGGCTACTTCATGCATAATATTTTCCCCTACATACAGGTAATCTCACTGTAGGAAAAGCATTGTCCATCATCATATGTGAAGTATATGGCAAGTATACAGGTTGTTACAGGCACTGGCTTCCAAAGTCATGCTTTCTACTGACTTGCAGCAAAGCAGTTGCCCATGGCCATATTCCACGTTTTTCTACATGGAGATTGTCTCTACATAAGAAATACATCCTGTGAAGGAAGCA